CTGATCTGTTTATAAATTATTAAACCAGGGATAATATTAAAATAATAAAATAAAATAATTATTATTGCCATCATGCGTTAAACAACTTCGATATTATGTTTCCTATGGTTCTATAACTATATGAAGTTATCACTTTTGTCGAGCGTCCCGTGACGCACACCATTTTTTTTAGTCTAAAAAGTTAAAATATTTAAATATATCAGGCTCAAGCGTTGTTCCTTAAATTGTCACCAAGTAAAGTAATGAAGCTCATTGAAAAATTGGGAATACAAAACACTACTCGAGAAGTCTGATGACGAACTTTTGCACTTAATATACTTTGATGTTGTAGGAAAAGCTTTCGAGCATGCCACGCTTCGACTTGTGAACGTGTTTCAACCTCCTCGGTATTTCTGTGAGCCAATTTTCTAAATGGATTGTCCATGGGTTTACTATAATTGAGAGACTTAAGATTCATGCCTAGTTTCATCTTCTCTTCATCCTATAAGAAGAAGACTTTTTGTCGTTAACAAAATCAAACTGAAATATTCGTTTAAGGTGTGCACTTTTAAAAGTCTAGTGTCATATACATATAACGTTTATACTTATACTTATATTATATTTCTTGAAGCGTACTACCAGCGTAATTCTATTTAGCTATAGCTTTGGAAAGAAAAAATACGTTTTGTCGGATGCAGCTGCGTGTAGTTTCTTAGTTTCTTATAAATGCAATTGCTATGTTTCCCGTGTGTTAAGAATGTTGCTAATGTGATTTCATCAGAATGCTTTGACTTTGACTTATAGCTTCAAATAACATTTTTAGGTATATGACTCAAATTCTGCTCAAATCATTCCACCAGTAGACAAACGAATTCAAAACTCAATATTGGCAAATTTGAGACCCCTCGATTCGTCCTGGAATACGGATATTCTTAGCAACAATCCTCTGCTAATAGACCCGTACGAAGATTGTTTGAACTGTTATTTGAAAAGTATTATATCTGATGGAATACATGCCGACGAAATTGCAATCAATAAGACAGTTAATCTGTCGTTCGTTTACACTGCTATGCATGGCGTGGGATATAAATCAGTTCAGAAGGCAGTTGATTTAATTGGTGTTCGAATTTTTCCTGTTCCTGAACAGCGCGATCCAGATCCAGAATTTTCCACCGTTAAGTAAGTATATTTTTTGCTATTTCATTCGACGATTGCTTATGAGCCAGTTTTTTTTAGTTTATAACTGTTTTAAACATGGTTGGTTTGTTGATTTTAGGTTTCCCAACCCTGAGGAGGGCAAAAGTAGTCTGGATTTATCATTTAAATATGCCAATGAAAAAGGGTGTAATATTATTCTGGCCAATGATCCTGATGCTGATAGATTTGCTGTTGCTGAAAGAAATAAAAGGTAAAATAGATTAAAATACTTAATATTTTCCGTTAAAATCACCGAGGTGTTTCCAATTTGTCATACGTGATCAGGTAATCAAAATTATCTTTTGGTCATTGAAAGTTTTATTAAGTTTATTAAGTTATTAGTTTTATGATATTGCGTATGTGCGCGGAGAGAGTTATCTCGTTTCTTCAAGCAACCTATACGTTTTCCTTGCTTCCTATACGAATACATATTTTTTCTTTGAACATTAATTGAAACATTTTTATCCTGAAAGTACATATCACTGGAAAAGCTGATTTATTATATGAAAGTTGATACAATAACTCGAATGAAACTTATGTACCAATAGAAAACCTTTTACTTAAGTGGTTAGTCTCAAAATTGAGGACCTTCGGTAGCACGGAACTTTTATACTTTTTCTGAATGAGTAGTATCTCAGTATATAATAAAAAAATCCTTAATAATTAATTAATAATCCTTCAATAATTATTTTATTGAAAAAAATCCTTAGGTATTGATTTTTTGAAAAATTTCTTTAAAACATCTGCGTTTTTAAAAAAAATATCATATTACATTTATTTAATTAAAATTCAACACCCTGTAAATCCGCAACGAAGCATTTTTGAGCTATCGTGTACACATATAGGAATATAGGGTTATTTTCACATCTAGATTATGTGGTTAAAATAATGCCACTTCCTCATGAAACACCTTATATTTTAGATCATTTTTGTGGGAAATGAGAATATTTTTTTCTGGTGATTGGTTGTCATCCAATCCCGAAGGAAAATGAGCATATACGTTTTATACGTGGTAATATTAGTAGTCAGTTTTGCGATTAGTATGCTATATACCTAAACTCCTATAATTTTTCGAATATTAATATAATAACTGTATATTGTAGTACCGGTGAATGGAAAATATTTAACGGAAACGAGCTCGGTGCTCTTTTCGGTTGGTGGTTGATAGAATGCCACAAAAAGCAAAGGCCAAATATCCCACTTGATAAAGTTTACATGATTGCCAGTACTGTTAGTTCAATGATTTTGAAAACTATGGCCAAAGCTGAAGGATTTAATTTCGTTGATACTTTAACTGGATTTAAGTGGCTGGGTAAGTTCAGTCTTTCGTCTTATATACGTTTTAATAATTTCTACCTAAATGAGAATCGGAGTTGGTTTGTAGAGCGGTATGAAGAATACATGTAGTGAAATGAAACGTATCAATTAAGTCATTGTGTAAATGGATTATAATAATTAATTTTGCTAAAGTGAAGCTGTTAACGCCATGTCCATGTATTTTGAACTCAAGTTTAGGTACTCTTTTGACGTTGGACTGAGGTGCAATCTTCATCACGCATCAGTATTTTTCTACCTTCACTTGGGTACCTTTCTTAGGACTCGAAATATCCTCCGAATTTCGAAACCCCTAGTACTGCCAAAATTTTCGTAGAATTGTGTGAGTTGATCCTCGGTTCGAAATTTGAGTTTTTATTTCTTATTCTTTCCCATCGATCAGTCATAGTACTAGTTCGCGATCGTCTTTGTGTTTGTGTATAATTGCTTCAAATCATACCAACAATCTAACAAAGTTTTTGTGACTCAAAAATACTCAAATCGTTCCAACAATCCAACAAGAGTTTCTTCAGTGTGTACACGCCCGCTTCTTCCTTTCTTAGTTTTTAAATTGTTTGCAACTGTGATTAACTTTAGATTATAAATGGAAATTAAAATTGTTTTAATTATGACGATTTAGCATAAGTATAACAGAACATTTACGGTGCGAGCAGAACGAGCTTACACTCACAAAAAATGTTGCCTTTTTAATACATATTTTTTTCTATTCGAATGAATACAACTATTAAACTATGGTTAATAGTCTTATTACGGTATTGACGAGTGCAGGAAACTGCCAACCAAATGCAGTGAAATAACTGTCCTTTAATTTGTTTCTTTTTCTATCGTCATTCTTTCATTACTGAGAATTGTGATCACTGACAACTTGTGACGTTATTTCTCTTCATTGGCTTCGATACCGAGCCATATTTACGGAACCGCCTAACGAACTACCGGGGGCCTTTTGAATCTGATCAGTCCATCTGGTTGTTGAGCGCTATCTAGGCCTATCTATCAGCCTCTCCAGGTTGTCTTCATCTCTTCGCACGGCGTGTGCAAAGAATCCCAATATGTTCGCCAGGCAGGTAGAAGAGGGTCAATTGCGGATGTTCAATTCGCTGAGTATTTTATTCGTCTATCCTGTGCAATGTCCACGGAATTCGGAGCACGCGTCTCCAGTACCACATCTCGAAAGAATAAATTCTTCCTTTGCCTGCTGCTTTAATTGTCCACGCTTCAGCTCGAAATCGGTAGATGGAAAAAATCAATGATTGAACTAGTTTCATTTTATTGTTTTTCGTAATTGATCAGTCTTTCCAAATCTTGAGCAGTCGACTCATTGCACTTTTAGCTAGTCCTATTCTCCTACGGAAATCACCTTCACTAGAACCCTTTGTAAAGCATCTGTCGATTGCAGAGTGCTGGAACGGTCAACTATCATAATTTTGGTTTTCTCCGCGTTTATCATAAGGCCACACTTAATGCTCTCTGTTTCCACTCGGTTTAGGAGATCCAACATTTCCTCTTCAGACGCCGCTATTAATGTTGTATCGTCTGCATATTTTAGATGTGTAATCTTTTTACCCGCAATTGCGATTAGTCCATGCCATCCATCCAATGCCTTTCTCATTATGTATTCTCTGCAAGTCTTGAATGGGAGCGAGTGCTGGATGTCAATTCTGACCCTGGCCATGCTGTTGTCGTACAGGTTTTTTATGAGTGCAATTAGATGTTTAGCCTCTCTCGCCTCTCGAGGAACTCTCCACAGCATTTTCCAGTTAACACAGTCAAATGTCCTTTGGTAGACCAAAAAACAGATGACCATTTCGATATTGAATTCTCTGCATTTCTCTGTGAGTTGTCGTAGATTAAGCATCTGTTCGCTGGTCTCTTTGCCATTCACAGACCCTGCCTGTTTCTGGGGAATCTGTCGATCCAGATGTCTTTAAACGTCTATAATACTAAGAATACTTAGAATCTTACTCGGATGTGATATCAAATAACTAGCACGGTACTTGCTACACTTTGTAGTTGCACCCTTTTTATGACGTGTAATGAATATAGAGGTAGATCAGTTTTTGGGCCACAGACGATGCTTCCATATTATATTACATAGATCGGTTAAAATTTTAATGCCCTCTTGATCCAAAATCTGTAATAGTTCTCCCATTATATTGATACAGCTTGGTGATTTTCAAATGTGCTATTGCGTCCTCTACCTCTGCGTGCATGATATCAGGTTCGTGAGTTTTTTTATTTATATTGAGAATTGAGAACTGTGAAATATGTCTGTCAAACGTTCAATATTGCTTCGATGTTCTCAACGACAGTGCCACGCATAATTGCGTGGTTTTATTTCTCTTGCCAGAAGTTTGACCTTCTGAAACAGATCTTTAGTTTCATTTCGGTGCGAGTGTGATTCTATCTCTTGACATATGTTGGATTTGCAATTTTCTTTGTCTTGACGACACCTCTTCTGAATATCCTTAGATATGGCTTTATATTTCCTTTCATCGAGAAGGCCTATTTTCAGTTGCTTCCTCTGTTCTATGACTTGCAATGTCTCGTCACTGATCCATGGTTTGCGACCATTTACGTATACCTGGTCGGCCACATTGGCTAGCAGTTTTCAGGAACTCCCCTAAGACATATCGACGATTCTTTGGTGTCATGGTTGCAATTTATATTTACTAATATTGGTTCAGTACTATCCCTGAAAGTAGATAGTACTGAATCTATCTAATTCTCGTGCTGTTAACCTTTTCTGTCTGGTCGCGGGTATAGGAATATTCTTAAATCTAAGTATGAGATATATTACTAGTAGTTGATGGTCACTACCACAGTCAGCACCTGGAAAAGTTCTTGCATCCGTCACAAAAGTTTTCCATCATGTGTTGATTAAGATAAAATCTATTGGATTTCTGCATCTCTCACCAGGCTTCCACGTGCAGAGTCTGCGCGGATGATGCTTGAAATATGTGTTTATTATTGAGAGTCTTCTTTGCAAGCAGAAATCAGCTTTTCCTCCCTTTCATTCCTCTACCCTAGTCCAAATCTTCCAAAGACCTGTTTCATGTGGTGGTCTATGTTAGTGGCACCTATTTTGGAATTAAAAATCTCCTAATATGATTGTGACATCTTTGCTGGGAATATTGACAAGCTCAGTATCTAGAGCCGTATAAAAATTTTCTAGCCTCTCTTCTGCCGTGGAGGTTGGGGCGTAAACCTGTATTATGTACAGTATGCATATTCAGCTTGACTTTGTGTGTTCGCTTTCAAATCAGTTCCTTCCCGATCCGATTAAGGAATTATTTAGACTCCGGACCAGTTTTGAGTTGAAAGTTGCCATTATTCTTTTGGGAATTAAAACATTTTTATATCCGAATGTGGTTTTCCCTTGCCTTGCTTCGATCTGTTACAGGGATTAAGTTCTGTTGATGAGAGATTGGTTATACCGCCATTGTTCGGTTGCCCGAGCCTCGTTCGTTAAGTAGCAGGGTGCACAGGGTGATCTCAAAGATCACCACTCGAGCAGGTGAGGTTGACATTTGGGTAGTTCAATGTTCTGATGTTTAGCACTACACCTTACACTCGTAATAATTAATTTGTTTGAATGGCTGGGTTTCAGTTTACCGGGGTACTGAACTTTTATAACGTAATTCGTAACATTCTCTTGCAATTTGGTTTATTATTATTTCGGCATAATTACTGTTTCGCTTTAATAACTTTTTATTTTTTAGGGAATAAGGCTCTGGATCTTGAAAAACAAGGTTACTCGGTAATATTTTGCTTTGAAGAGGCAATAGGTTTTATGTGTAACAACAAGATAGTGGATAAAGATGGAGTATCGGCCCTCGCACATTTCGCATGCTTGAGTAATTTTGTTTATGGTAATAATCAACAGTTGTGTGACAAACTGAAGGAGCTCTATGATATTTATGGCCTTCATTTGTCGTTAAATTCTTACTATTTTTGCCACGAACCTCCAAAAATTGAACAAATTTTCAATCGAATTAGAAACATCAATGGAGAAAAACAGGTAATTATTAAAACAAATCAAAGATCGAATAAACTATATCAATTTGTCGTTTCTACTGGGGGAGATTGAGGACGTGCTTCCACCCCTTAAACTGCCATTTTGCGAAGGGTTAAATTTAAGATAAATAACAACAAACGTTCACTGTTGCCCGGTGCAAGTTCCGGGGCAGTTTAATAATAAAATAACTTCAATGTTAATGTTGACCTGTGTGACATGTAAATATCAGCTGATTTTTATACAAGATTGGCCAAATACGGCCAACCTTCATTACCCGTGCGAGTCCTTTTTGTGGCTTAATTACCTACTACCTACTAGTACCTACTAGGTCCCATTGATTATGCACCAGGTATCATTTTCTCCCGATTCTTGATAAACCGGTGGCAAATAGACCCTGAGTTTCCACGGTGTCTGTTCTTTTTTGTGACAAAGCTGCCTTCCCCAGGCAGGTAATTTTAAACTCCCGCAACAGTCATATTTGGCCTGACGATAATTTTTTTGCTATTCGGTGCGCCAACTTTCAACACAAGTTAGGAATCGACATGTGAAATAATGGCTAGTATTTCTAATTATCATTTAATTGGGGCATACCTTCTCCCACATCGTCTTACAGATCCTATTTGCCTGAACGCATCATAAGAGATTGACTATGCACATTTGGAAATTTGGATTGGAATAGCGGCCCTAGTTGCATGGACACCACGATCTCCCGACCTAAACCCCGTGTCCCATGGTATTGGTTGTAAATATGCCAGTTTGTACGACGACGGACAAATTGGCAGATCTACAACCAATAGAAACCCTTGCATCCAAAAGGATGTATGGGACACGGGCTTAAGTCACCGTGACTTTTTTCACTACTTTTAAACGGTGCGTTTGTGCATATGAGTTTATTAGTAAAAGTTGGTTAATTTTCAATCCCTTGTATGACCTATAAGTGTAGAAACACGTATTCACCCCACACCCTGTAATTCAATAAATCATCATTTCAGAATCTCAGTTTACATTATTAAAAAGTTAGGTTTTCGGGGCCACTGCTGGCAACTGCTGCAGGGAACTGCCTTGCTATCCTACGGTTTGGATCTGATGGCACCGTTTTGTGCCAAATAAATGTTTTCATTCCAAAACGTACGTAGTAGTATGTATGGAGACAGGCAAGGCTGAAGCTCTTCAACACCTATTACTTGACACGAAATCATTTCAAAAGTTGGTTTCTTTAGCAAAATTAAATTGCTTTCCATTTTAAATAAAAAACTTTAACATACCTAAATGACAAGCGGAAGTTGGGAAAACTAACATTAAGCCGCTAATTTCTGTAATTAGCAATTAGCTTACAAACAAACAACAATTATACCTATCGATTAATACAACGACAAATAAACTAGAGGATGAGATCGGCCTAAGGAGGAAAACCTTTAAATAAATCGGCTCACAAATAGTTGATTGCGGTTATGTCAATGTAATTAAGCTACAATGTTCTTTTGAATAATCTGTTATATTATTGTTTACCGCAATGTTTAAATATATACTTTCTAACAACCTGTCATTAATTAGTTAAATTATTTTAGTATCCGTCTGGGATCTTAAACGACGAATATAAAATAAAATCGATCCGAGATTTGACCACAGGTTTCGACAATTCTCAACCAAATAATAGAGCGATCTTGCCAGTCTCATGCAGTTCACAGATGATAACTTTTGTCTTTGATAATGGTTTGCATCTTACTCTTAGAACCAGTGGAACTGAACCAAAGATCAAATTTTACAGCGAACTTTGCATGAGCCCGAAAATCAAGTAAGAATTACTATACATAGCTTGTACGAAATGAAAATGGTTGTGTTTCCAGGGATAGATCGTTCGCAGAAGAAACGCTAAGAAAGATGGTCGCCGCTATTTGTGAGGAATTTTTCCAACCAGAAAAGAATGGTCTTATTCCTCAAAGTGGATAATAACTGCAACATTTTATGCTTATATCGACTATTTTTTATTATTTTTACTTAATGTAATAAGGCTTTATGTTTAATGGATTATGTAATCTCACTATTTTAGATGTTACGCACCAATTTTACGTCATGTGTTGTTAAATTTACTTCAATAATAATATTGAAATAATTAACAAAAACAATAATTTCGTCGGTAACAACCGCACAAGAAATCATGTAAGATGTAGAAGAAGAAGTTTCGAGGTTCGCCAATTTCAGGCACCTCCTGGATCGGTTTCGAAAAGCTGCGAACATATAATGTCGTAATTAAGCATTATTTTTAAATTGTCCCTTGTGTGACTGGTAGCATATACGAATGCTAAAGCATTCGAAAAGAAAAATTACGACACTTGCAAACGTGCAGACAACATCCCCAGAGGAATGATGCCAATTCTAAATCATCCTGTATATCTTTAAATCTTATAAACATAAGGACATCTAAAATAAAGCTTATTTTAATGACTAAAAATGACCACCCTCGGCGGTCCATTTGATGTCCATATACGTATATATGTATTCTATCTGACTAATAGACGTCCAAATATTGACGTCTTTCAGGCATCTTTTCAAAGTCAATTGACGTACCAACCAAGAATGACTTAATATTGATGTCTTGCGACGTCTAATTGGTCATTGTAAACATGTAATTTTTAACATCTGTTTTATAGTATGAGATTATTGCTGGCACAGTGCGTATATTTTTGGATGAAACTTTTTCCCATCGGCAGATCTAACTCCGATGCAGTCCAAGTTCAAGTCCAAGTCCTAGAAGATCGATACTGATCGCCTTGGATATTGTCAAGCCGTAAATGGCACACATTTTGCACATTTACTTTGTTCCTCTGTTCTTTGAAGGAAATCGGTGTCATTCATACTTAGAATTCAATGGATAATTCAAAATTTAAAGAGTAAGTGCTTCCTTTTGAAAAAAAATAGGTTGATGATGGCAACTTATTAATATTAGGGTCCCTTCTTATTCTTCTTCTTATAAGGCCTTGAGCCTGTTCTTTTCCTATCTCTTTCCTCTATTGCTGCAGCCGAGTTTGTGACATAGACTGCCAGCAATCTTTTAAAGGGCCGTCCTGGTGGTCTTGGTATTTGCCCTTTATGTTGTCTCATGAATGGCACCAATCTTTTTTGGAGACATTGTCTTACGTAAATTTCGGCGTTTATTTTCCCATTTGTTACAAAAGATTTGCTGCTCTCCCCACAGCTACACAAGGCGTGCCACACGATAAAATTCTTGGGAGACTTTGACTTTTTCTTAGTCTTCATGGGCACCTCCGCGCTCACGTGCTGCGTAAAATTCTTGACCCGGAAGCTGGGAGAAGTCACAAAGAACGTAAGTTTCGTTATCCATCAGACAGCAATCGTTTTGTTAAATTAGTGTTCAATTTTTGAACCCGTTTTTTGGCTTCCAAATTCTTACTTGCATTTCTGCCTGGTGTCCTCTAAACTTTAAAAGTTTTGAAGCCTATTTTGGTTTCTATTCGACGTACGGTGCTCTCACTGCAGCAAACTTTTATGCCCATTTTCCGACTGGAGAACCAGTTTGCTCGACAAATTTTTCTCCGTTTGCTCGACAATTTTTTTCACTGTTTGTCGAGGTGTAAAGCCACTTTTCGGTTAACATTTAATGTCTGCTTGAACCGCTTACTAACGTTTGATACAACCGTTTTATGAACTTTTATATTTGTCGAAATTTTTCTGTGTGTCTTAATTCACGCACATTTAATTTAGATGCCATTTCTCTACTGAAACAAATCTAGAGTTCGACGTTTAATATCAAAATCATTTAAAGATTCAAACGAAGAGTGTCCTCTAATTGGAATTTGGGTTTTCTGATATGTGCAGAGCTACCTCGGTTTTTGTGTAGGTATCAATTTTTTCTCACTCAGTCCTTAGTATATCGCCGTCCATTCGTGTAAAGCCTATGTCACATGCATCCGTTTATACTATGGTACGATGATACGAAAGTGTTTCTATTGGTTGGAGATCTGTCAGTTCGAACGACGGCGGACGCTTCACAAGTTCTTCACTTATTGCAGGTATATTCTTTAGTGATTTTATTGGCGACTGTCTTCGTTAGCAATTTTAGTGTTATGATAAGCAATGTGATCCTACGGTAGTTGCTAGGATTCTTCTTATTTCCTTTTCTGTATATTGGTATTTTAATGCTTGTTTTCTATTGATTTGGTACTTGCTTGGTATCTTTCTGAAAAAGTACAGCAATATTTTCAATTTTTTTGGGCTTGCTGTTTTTTAATTTTCCTGTCGTTTTCCTGAGTTGTTCGCTTGTAATTTCTATGATTTATTTGTTGTCGTTCTCTTCCACTTTCACTCCTTCTTCCCCGTTTATGGCATCTTCCTTATTCCATTCATTGTAGAGTTATTAGATGTAAGCTGTCTAATGTTCTGCTGCTATTTTCTTGAAGATATATTCATTAATATGTTGTTTTCTCCCTTTGAAAATTTTGCATACTTGTGTCCAATATTCTCTTTTCAGGTTTCTTACTTTTCTTATATTTCAGGTTTTTTATTTTTGTCCTACTCTAAGTAAATAACTTTTGTATAGAAAAATTGCAGTTCCAAATAAAAATTGACGGATTCTAGTTTTCTTAAAAAAAAAACAGTCCTCTGAATTTAAAATAAATTTAGACATTACTTCTGGTATTTTGTTAGGTTATTGAAAATAGTTTCCCAATCGACCATAGATTTGACGTAATATCGCAGTAAGCAGACCTGGAATAGCTGAAGAAGCTAATGATAGAGCTAAAAGCAAACCACTAGATCGGCCTTTGAATTTACTTTATTATCGTAATAACAACACATGTATAGTAACATATATATTTGGTGAACAAATAATTATTTTAGTAATGGATAAGTTCTGCTTACGTTTCTTATTTACAAAGTACACAACAGTAAGAGTAAACAGCATTGAAAAATATTATTCAAACAATTAAAAAATAAACTTATTGAATAAAAGTGATCGGAAAATCAGATCAGTGTTTTGTTCCTCGAAGATGTTAACAACGCTTGAGTATGTATCACTTACGTACATTGCACAATATTTTAGCGTATTTTGTTTACCTATTAAGCAGACCTTTTAACTTCTTAACAAGTTAGTTCAGATTTTTGCACTTTAATCTTGCTACATATTACATTCAATTTGGCCAGTAAGCTTATAATAAAAGAAAATTAAAAGTATAAAAGTCAATGTTTAACATAAGCGTTTGTTAATGTGACCACCTGGCCATCTCCAACATCTCTCTTGCCTCGTTATAATTTTGAGATTCACCAAATTACAACAAAATACGCCATGAAAGCTTATCATAACTAACTAATAATAGGACCTATATTGCTAGGCATACATAATCACAGACCTAAAACATTTGCTAATAAGAATGGGCATTTAAAACAGGATTGTAAATGCAAATGGCATTTATTACTTTATTTATGGCGTTATTACTTTTTTATCTTTCGTGGGCATAAAGCTAAAACTGACCAAGTCTAAAATATTTTTTTTAACTTTTAAACTAAGCCGAAAATTATATGAGAATCTTTTTCGAAACTCTGTCATTAAAAACATATCTTAGTGCACCTATTTGTGTGGCCTTGCGGGAGTTCGTCAGTTTTTTCAGACAAATACATATAAAGATTTTTAAACCAAACACAATTACGGAATTTTGGACTTGCTCACTTTTAACTTTAAGCCGACGGTTTATCATTAGTCTTCTTATTTGGAATATAAAGCAAAAATTGCCAAATCATATCATTATATGATCRAAATAGATAGGTACCTACTGGTACCTATCTATTTCGTACATATCATTTCTTACATTTCGTACATATGCCCAGTAGGGCATATGTACGAAATGCTTTTTTCTTGACAAAATTCTATAATCATTATTTCTCAAAATATKTCCAATTTGAAAAACATACAATTTTAATACTTTTCTACTTTATAGTACCGGTATTTTTAGTTATCATTAGATTCTTGCTTTGAAAACTATATCGATATCGGCTTCAAATACTCTCTGCAATTAACGATCCACATAAAAATATTATTTCCAGCTCAGCTCTAGTTAGCCATTAAGAAAGAAAAACACTAAATTGCTATTTGGAGTGTATTGCACACATAGTACAGTAGGTGCACAGTAGATTCTATAAAATAATCGCATTTTCCTGACCGGAGTCAATTGCTGTAAAATTTATCTGTTCGAATTATTTTTTAATTGGGTGATTGGGTCCGCTGGTACTAGTTTTGCTATTTTAGATTTATCATTTATCGTCTGTATAGTTTGGTTCTACATTTGCGGTAAACATTTCTGATATCTTCGTTTAGGTAGGAATCGTTTCCCTCTTCATTCCTTTTACGCTTTATTCAACTCATTTACGTTCCTTCCGTTGTTAAGACATAAATTGAGAGGCCAACTTTTYCAAAATTTACCAGGAATTTAGAACAGCTTACAATTTTTGGACTTTATTATTTGGGTTTTGAAAATATTTATTAAAACATTCAGGGTTYACAAAATTTGCATCATAAAAATAACATAGTTTCATATTTTTTATGGGTAGCTATCAAGCTGGGTAARTAAAACCAAATTGCGGAAATCAAACGCAGGACCCATTTTGCATGGGTGGCATTCGGAACCATAAACTATATTTTTAAGATAAAAAGATACCCACTGAGGAAACTGAACCATAAAACTGAAGAAGAAAGCCTACGACAGCTGTGTTCTGCCGGTTCTCACCTACGACTTGGAAACTATGGCAATCACCCGAAGAACAGCTGAGCAACTGATAGTCATACMGAGAGCCATRGAGATAAAAATGCTGGGAATCGCCTTGAGAGGCAAAGTGCGAAATGAGCAGATGAAATGAATAGAACCAGAGTGACGGAAGTTGCAAAAAGAGAAAAAAGCCATACGTGGCAATGGATCGGACATGTGGCGAGACATGACCCAGAGAACAGCACTTTGGAAACCAAGGGGAACAACAAGAAGTGCGGGACGACCAAAAAGAGATGGACAGGAAGACAATGGATGCGACTAGCGAGAGATCGCCATGCATGGAAAAATCTAGAAGAGGATGACTGAACACGGGCTGAAGAAGAAGAAGAAGAAGCCCTACGGTTGGAATAAAACGTGGTTTCGCGTAGGTCTAATTGCGGTTTTTGCTTGTAGCTAATAGCTACCATTTCATTGTACCAGTTCTTACTGTTTTTATCATACTGAGTGTGAATAATACATTCCAAAAATTAGGTATTTCTATTTATATTTTGAAATTTTTCGAAATTTATTGAAATGTAAGAAAGGAAAAATAATTTGATCTATTTCGATTGCTTTTGGTAGTATATTGTATTATACACGAGTGCAGTTGTTCGTCATAATAAAGGAAATATTTAAATGTTATTCAAATTCCTTTTGAGTCACATAAAAGATTTATTAATAAAAGCTGGATTAAGTTTCGAGTGCATTTTCCAGGAGATTTTATCGAGCTGAAACTGGACACAGGTCTCCTCTCTTTAAACACGACGGTATTACAGACAGTTATTGATGTGACTTGTACGTCTTTTTGGCGTCATTAATACGTGATAATGACGTAAGTATCGCGTGTTTTTTAATGACTCGGCCCAGGCTGTATTGACGATAGAAATTCAATTTGCGCAGCCGTCATTAAGACCTGGTACTAAGAAAAGAATAATGTCTTTAATCATCTATTTTACGTTTAATTTCTCTCACTAGGTTGACTGGGTTTGCTACAGTAAAAGCAAGATAAATTATTTAATTAAGGTATTAAATTATTAAATGTTTTTAGATTCCTTAGCTAAAATACAGGCGTTTGCTCGTCAGGCATTGAATCAGAATAACCGATAATTAAAAGTTGGCGACTAGCTGACTGACAACTAAGTTTTGATTTTTAATCAATAATTAAGAATAATTAAAGCAGACGTAAATGTTGAACTTAGAGGATAAATTAATCTTGCTCATAGAAAGTGCTGCACAAAAGTTGCTGTTTCAAAAAACTGATCACATGAAGCTTTCGATTCAATTTTGCAACTTTTTGCACAATTAATCACTTTAAGAACTAGCCAGAGTTGTGAGGCGAATATCTTTTATGGTGTAATATCACCAATCACCCTTAATAAATGTAATAAATAAATTTTACTTAGATTCCTAAAAATAAAATTAAATTAGGAATCAAATTTTTCATCGGCACTCTCATGTTATGTTTGATGAATAAACGAAAAAGAAAACCATTCTTGGTAAACTGTGTTTTAAAAAAAAACAGGTAGTTTTATATATTGTGCGTTACACTACTACTACTGCTTTGATTCAAACTTATGAAATTGTAATTTACTACCGTCCTCTTGCTCTGCCTTTAGTTGCAATTAGTGGTGTGAGATTTGACTACTTTTGAATACTCGTACCGATTAGTTACTTTTGGATTCAATGGTCGTTACTTCGGATCAGTTATTCAAGTACTCATTCTAGCAGTAAGTCTTGCGAAATTCGAGGACCAATATTGATATATTATTAGTGTCCTTCATATTTCATCATATACACGGTCACTTTAGTCATACAAACCATATGGAACCCTTGAATTTATGATTCCCGTAATAGATAGGTATATTTACGTATAACAGTAGAAAATAAGACCATTTTGATCAATTTTTTAGTCAGTTGTTAATTGATTCGCTATTGTACTCTCTATTGTTATTGTATATATTTTACGTATACATCTGAACTCCCACGGTAGTTAATACTCGCAGTTTCTAAATCAATTCTCTTTTTTAATCAATGTTTGAAAGCAAATTATTTACCTCTCTGAAGCAAGATGCCACACATCCATAAATATATTTTGGTGCAGTATTAATACAGTGCGACAATTATCAATTTTCATAAACGTCTTTTGACAAATATGCAGTTTTGAAATAAGTTACAATTACCATGTTAGATTTTCTATTATAAAGGTAAATGCAAAAATATAATTCAAGATTACCATGCGGCAACGGAAAACGCTGTTTTCAGTGATTAGAAACAACCGACGTTGAAACTCAAACGCGACTGTCAGTATCCGTCCGTATCGGTTCGAGTCCGGGTACTGATTATTGTTATTGATTACCAGTTAGTTTAGTTACTAGTTGGTCTGAACGAGTACGAGTAGTAAAGTATACGGCTTGGGATAGTCAAACGTTAGGACGGGTGATTTGATTTTCCGAGAACGATTACTGATTACTTGAATACTCTTCTGATAGTTTGGTTCCGTATTCGTTATTTTGGATACTGATGAGTAACAAGTACTCGAATACCGATGAGTTACTTTTCGCATCACTAGTTGCAATCCAGGACTTTTTTAAATTGCTGGAATTACTCCAGCTCGTTTTAACGTTTAGCACATATAGAAAATTTGCAGATGCTGCATTCGTTTCGAGTGTTGAAACATTCAATGACTTGCAAAACTAAATAAAAAGACTATTGACTTCTACTTATCAATAAAAGTGAATCCACAACCATTTTGATTAATTACCCATCATCAACTAAACGCGATTGCTTTATTTTATACAGCAATGAAAACTCAACAACAATAAATAACTAAAATAAAGTAAGTCACCAACTCATTTAACAGATCACAAAAAGGGGTCGTATATACAAATAGTACTTGCTAGTTTACCGCTATTTACATTAAAGAAAATTAGAATTACTGAGGTCGGTATACTTTTCTATACAGTGTTAAACCTCTAAATATATACAGAGATCACAATTGAACATTACGTACAAATGGTTTATTATGACTTAGCTTCTAAGCATTTTACGGGTAAGAACATTTACGTTAATGCTAGATTCTTAAGGTTTAAACATACACGGTTGTTGGTTTGGGAAAAATTTTAACGTCTCATAAACATTTATTTTTGTAAAAAAACTGAAAAGTCTAAACCTTGTAAAACTTTTTTCGCATAATCAAAATGGGATTATTATTATTATTTAAACTTGCTG